GCAGAAAATAAACTTTATATAGGAAATAAACATTCAGTGATTTCATGCGGAGTCTCAACAAGATTCCGCAACAAGCTCGTTTATAAAGAAAATATTCTAAAACACATTGATAATAGATAAAACCGAAATCGTCACGTTTTATAATTTTTTGTAAATGGTCCCAACTACTTTAATTCCTCCATAAAGAGGAAAAAAGTATACTTCTCATTTATTTTATTTCAGTCGCGATATAAAGCTCTTAAATTTGCTGTTTAATTGCTCCGTGATATTTACAGTAGAATAAGCTGTCTAACTAAATCTTTCAATTATAAATCTTAGAATGAATTTGCGCAATGTACAGCAAACTTTTGAAAATAATTAAATAAATTTCAAAACTATTCGAGAAAGATAAAGCTGCATAAATATTTGAAGGCCAGTCTATTATTACCGTGAAACAAGTTAAATTAGTAAAACACTAATAAAAGAATAATACCATATTTAAAACAAAATTTACATTTCAAAGAAAACAATAAAAAAAGAAGGCATTTAGTATTGATTAAAACCAAAACAATAAAAATTTTATTAATCACCTTTGCTTAAAGCCTCAAACAGAAATTGGCAATGGAAAAGTGTTTTGAAGGCCTAAACCAAGTTGATTAATGAGAGACGATAAACATGTTTCATTCAAATGAACTCACTGAGACTTTAAACCGCTTTTAAATTAATTTCCTTCCCATACTCAATTTAGTTCAATAGTCTCATTAAATTCACTCCTTTTCCCGACATGTTTCCGTCCTCCATTAGTACAAAACTTACGTAATTGAAAAAAAAATCATAGAAAAGGCCTAGAAATACTAAAGATAAAACTATCACAATATAAAAAAGAAAAAAAAGGTTACCATTTAAATTAATCGATTAATTTTCAAAATGAAAATAATATTGGTAGTCCTATTATAAAACCAAAAACAAGTGCGTGCTCAATTATGTAAATACAGGATAAACTTTTGTGAAATTAAAATCCTGTCAAATTAAAAGATGCAATTTTTGGAGGAAAAAAGAAAAAATATTTTACTCAGGGAACAATGAAACTATTGAACAAACCAAACTTACCCTTCTGTAAAAACGCGAAAGCCGGCATTATATAAGCACTGCAAAAATTCCGGACCCTGAAAAGGTTGTCAAAATCTCAAAAGAACCTTGAAAGAGTTTCTAGAAACTTTAAAAAGGCATTTACAACGAATAGAAAGGGACTTCAAATCATAAATAATCTCGCGCTTTCTTGTGAAAACATTGGATGCTTTTCCGGAAAAGGTGTCTGGGTTAGGGGGCGAGGCATTTTAATGGTAAAGGTAACAAGTGTCTATTATGGCGTCGCTTTTTGGTAACTTGCCCTAAAAGAGAAACTATCCAAGGTGGCTAAGTGACAAAATTTCTATTGAAAAACTCAGATGTAAAACTGGCCCCAAAGTAGAGGGAAAATGGAAAAAAGGGATGTGGGTTAGTAAAAGTAATTCTTCATGCAATCGAAATCTATGCTAAAACCCCATGCTAAAAACGTCTTAAGAAATCGAAGCAACCCTTTTTTTTTAATAGCAGAACACATCAGCCAGTAATTCTTTAGAGTACATAAAGAATATAATTCTGATCACAATAGCAAAATTCAAAGAGAACAGAGGAATTTAATGACACATATACATTAAATTATAAAACCACTCCCTAGTTACCTCCTTTTAAGGTTTGGGTAAATAATATCATGTATACATCTTTATAAATTTATGATGAATATTTAGGGAATATAAAACACCTGAAGCTGTAAGGTATTTCTCCCGCTTTCTTGGCATGTCTTCCTGGTGTGATGGTCTGCACGCTGTGCGTGTATTCCAGAGGTCCGCGGTTAAACTCCCGGCGAAGGCTTTGCTAATTTTTCATCTTGCTTGCTCCAAAAAAGTACCTAATGTCTCTACAGTGGCGCCTGAACTAAGAGGGTGTTGGATGATGATTCTCCACATTTGGTGATTGGGTCCCCTAAAAACCCCAGTCGCCCTTTAAAAGGGGGGAGTATATAAAGTATTTCTCCCTTTCTTGGCATGCCTTCGTGGTGTGGTGGTCTCTAAGCTGGGCGCGTATTCCAGAGGTCCGTGATTCGATTCCCAGCGAAGGCGTTGCTAATTTTTCATTTTGCCTGCTTCCAAACATACCTAATGTCTCTACAAATCATATGAATTTCCTTCTTACTTTTATAAAATATATATTGTATTTGTATATATATATATATATATATATATATACTTACTGTTTGAAGAAGGTGTATTAGGTAGAGAGTATATGGCCATAACTGAGTGAAATGAACTGAAGAATTTACAAAAACGCACATAAACAAAGTTGCTTCAAAAATCTGTATCTGCGAATTAAACCAGGAATGGAAAAAGACCACAAAGATCCTTAAATGAACTCATCCTTAAGAAGGATAAGGAACGTACTTTTCATCATCTCAATTAAGAGGAACCAAAACTAAGGCCTTAATTAATAGTTCAAATACTACTTATTAATAGTTCAAATACTATTACTTACTCAAATACTACTTAATACTACTAATTTTTAAGATAATTTACGTTGAACGTCGTATGATTTCATTATTTACGTGCATCTGGAAGACATATTAACTGTTTTAAAACAAAATTTTATGTTTTGAGTGATGACGATTGTACAGTACTTCTGGAAAAGTAACTTCCGTGTGATTTTGTATTTGTTTCCTAATACTCTGAAATAAACTGCTGAAAATTCAGTTGATATTTTTTTGTATTAAAGAGGTGACTATTGTTCACAAATAAATGAAAATTTCCATAAATGACAAGAAAACATAAGCTATACGTGGCAAAATGAAGACCTGTTCTGTGATGGCCTTTCCACACTATTACTGTATAAACTGTTCTTTTAATTTTTTTGGATTTGTAAATATTACTTTTCCAAGTTCATGACTGTACCAGCGGAAATTGAACGGAAGTATGATCGTTCCGATTATGTGATTGCTTTTTATATACGGTTTCCATCGCGAGTGCTGCCCGACATCAAACCAGTGTGAAAAATTAGGTCTTTCTCCTTCATCTCGAGCTTAACTCTTAAAATCTGAAAAGCAAAGTCTTATATATATAATGAATGAACATGTTTCATTGTAGAAGATATTCGGAAGTTTGGGTACAAGTTTATTTCCTAATTTATTCTATACAAATATTGCGAGTTACAAAAGTTTTTTTAAATAAGTTAGAAGAATTTTATGAGAGCAGTTTCAATACTGGCGGGTGCGAAGGTTCTTCTAGTATAAAATTTAACTTCTTAGATAATTCCCATATATTAAAAATGCCAATCCGTAAAATGTTCGCAATGCTTTAATCGGTTAAATACAAAACAATCCCATACCTTAGCGTGGAAAAACCACGAGATATTATAAAACGAATTTATTAAATTCATTTTTCCCTGCCGAATACTAACACTATTCCGAATACTTTTGAAAAAGCATTTAGAGAACAGTGGCAAAATAAAAGTAACTGTTTAAATTTAGGAAGCAATCTTAAAATAAAATTAGCTGGTTTTGGCTACTGACGATTCTGTTTCAGGTAAAATAACATTTGTTATTAGATTTATACCTCGCGTAAGATAATATTACTCGAGAAGGTCTCTTTGAATTCTGCATCTAGAGATGCAGACTCCTTTTATTGTCCTTTGATAAGTTGAATTCCATTTGAAATCAATTTATCAAAGGATAATAATATTTTATTAAGAGGAATATTTGCTTCACGGCGACAAGACAAAATTTAGATTTTATATTTGTATAACCTTTCCACTCACAATACTCAAATTATTTTCATGAAATTCTGTACCTTATTTTCAGAAATTGTGTAATAGGAAGTACGTGCCTAAGATTAAAATTTAGGAAACGAAGCCAGCATTCACCATATTTGACAGCTCTGTCTACACCAATTCCATTCTTTTACTTCTGTACGATAAGGGTATGAACCGAAAATCCAGTAAATCACGAAAAACATTTGGCAGATCATTTACGCGTTTTGGCCTCTGTAGAAGACAGAATAAAGGACTCTTTTCAAACGGTTTAAAAGATTTAAAATGGATTCAGGACAGATTTTTTTGTGATGTCTAGATGTACGTATGTATGTAGCTCGCATAAATCAAAAACGAGTAGACTCAAAACGTTGAAATTTTGTATATGATATAACATGTAGTTGTGCACCTACCTTTTTGGTTGGATTCGGCTGCACCAAAAGTGTATAAATAAGCAAATATACCCACTTTGTAAACTCAGCTGAGCTCAGTTTTTTTTTTAATAATTTTGGTATATTGGTAATTGTGTGTTTTTGCTTTAAAAATGATTGAATTATGTTGTTCTTATCTCCCAGTTAAAGTTCTTTATGCCTTTAGTTAATCTGCATGCAATAGTTGTAGAATTATTAGCTATTTAAAAGTTTTTTAAGTGCGGCTAAGCCTAATTTTTTTTTACTATAGCTGCCATATTTGTTTGCATTTGAAACTTAGCGAAATAGTGAATTCAGTTTTCTGCACTTTCAGTGTCTTTTTGCCAAGTGGGACCCAAAGTAAAGTTTTGTGCACCGAAAAATCTGCCTTCTTGTCGCTGGCATAACTACTTGTTTTTGCGTAGAAACAATAATTTTAATTGTAAAAATTTTTTTTTAATTGTTTTAATTGTATTTGGTGTTTCAAGTCTCTATATTTTGCAATTTTTAATAAAGCTATTTTGAGGTTTTATGTATTTTTTTGTCTTGTCGCAAAGTGAGAATTGAATTAATTGAAAGAGAATATCTCTAATGAGAGAGGAAATAAGTTTCAATGAAATGCAGAAAAAATTATAATATTCCGTACAGAATAGGGACCTACTTTTTAATGCTGAAAACTTGACAATATCATCTTAAACCAGCAATTCAAGTGTGCACATATGGTTTTAAAAAAAAAAAAAAAAAAAAAAAAAGGAGAAAGAAACTTTTTATTACCTGAAATTTCGCTTCTTCAGAGAAACTGTTATCTTCGCAAGAAGAGAAAATACTTGATAAGTTGTTCGACTGAAAAAGGAAGAAAAGGGCTAACGCTATACCACGATTCTAAGTAAAAGAATGGTAACACATGCAAATAACAGTGAATTTTGTTAAGCACAATGCATCAAGGTATATATCAGCATCAAGGTATATATTGCATTTATCAGCATCAAGGTATATATTGCTTTAAGGGTACTTCGGTAAGTTTTTTTTTATTTTAATAGTCTTTGAAATCAATTTTTGTAGCTGTTTTTAGTTTTTAACTGCTTTAGACTTTGAAAAGTATCCAGCCTGATAGTTAAAACTTCATATTACAATTTTTAAACAGTTTTTCAACTCAAAAGCGCAATTTCAGTGAATGAAACAAATGTTTAGATGTTTTCCTTTAAAATACGGAAAATTAAAACATTCAATTTAATCTAATTTTAAACCAGCCTCTAAACCTTTGGAAGTTCACGATCTTTTCCCATTCATTTGCATAACGTATTTTTTCGTAATTTGAATTGCCACGGTAAAATTTTTTCTTGATGAGTGGAAGAAAACCTTTTCTATATATGTAGACAAGAAATTAAACTGGAAGTAAAGTCAGAATTTATGATTCGATGGCATAATGGAATAATGTAAAAAAAAAATTAAACTTCGTTATTAGTTAAAAATTAAATTCCAAGAATTTTCTTTCAATTTAGTATAGAACTTGCATATCAGAATTTATCACTTACGCATATATTTAAGGGAAAGTAAGTTGAAATTTGATTAGGATATTTTGACTATTCGATAAAATTATTTTGAGGCAAAGATATACAGTTATGTTTAATTTTAACGTGATAAATTTACTTATTCATTAAAACTATTTAAGAAAATATTGCTTCAATTCTGAAGTAAAAAATATTCAAAGCAGCTCCCAAAATGTTTCGAAACACATACCTCTACGAAATTTCGCTTAAAGTTCATATAATTCAGCAGAAAAAAATTTTCCTTTGGTAAGAAAATTACCTTGTTTCCTATATACACATTATCTGCGAAAAAAAATTAGTGATGCTACACTTCTACCCACTTCACCCAAACTCTTCAGAAATTCCACGTAACGTACGACTTTGTTTTCGTCTTGCAAGAAATAAAAATTTCCAAAGCAAATGAAATCTGCTTCTTGTTTTTGAAGTACTGTGCACTGTATATTTATAAATTAAGCTCATGAGGATAACGATGAAACTACTTGTATACAATATATATATATATATATATATTTCAAACATTTTCCTCGTGTACGTCTGAAGGGGTTCTTTACATTCAGGTAAGAACAGAAATCCTCATTTATGTATTTATAAAAATAACCTAATTATTATCCAAATGAAACTGAAATAAATTTATCAAATATTATTACGCACAGGGTGTTTACACATTTTTAGAAAGATATCGCAGCCGTTTAATTAATGGTTAAAACATAAAGAGTACTTTTTTTTTTGAATACTCGATTTGATAGTACTATTTCTGGGCTATAAGTCTGCATCGTGATTTCCATAATAGAAGGACTCCCAGTAAAACTTGCCGGAGTACTGATTTCCAATTTTCTTCCACTACTTTCCAGAGCTCATCAATCATGACGAGTTTGCGCTTAGATGTAGCTAGTTTCAAGAGACCAAAGGCACAATAGTCCGTAGGTGAAACGTCAGGAGGCTTTGCAGGGATACGTTGAAAATGTATGCATGCATTGCCCATATCTTTGAAATTCAATGGGATGAAGAAAAAGTATCAGTGACTGCTTTATACTCCAAGTATGACTGCATTGTTGCTTTGCTTGATGAAACTTCACTCTTTAAAACTCAATGGAATTAAGAAATGGAATTTCTTCTGCAAATATCGGACGTAAAATTTTCTCTTGATAGCACATGGAGGTGATTTTAACAATTTTCCCCCCAGTCTTCTTATTTTTAATTTCTGATTGTTAGAGATTGTTAGAGAATCTTGCAACAATCCTAAACTCCTTACTTTGCATTGATGGAACCAGGTTTGAACATTTTTCTCTTCTTTTTCGAAAATAGATAGATGTTGTAGTCATTAAGTTAAACCCATGCTTCATTAAGGGGCACAACTTATATCCATTTATCTCTTAATAAATAGTTTTCATACAGGGTTATAGAAATTGATCTGCGATGAACTACACGCCTCTGCAAAAGCTGTGAACATTATGTTTTTTCGCATTTTTAAGTTGTAAATGGTTTATTATTTTATTTTTTGTTGCTAAAGATGTATTTAAAATCGTTGCAATTGATTTCTGCGTTAGTGGACTTTCTCACGTTACCAACGATTTAACTTTAGAAACACTATGTGCTTTTTTTCGGGTACTCATCTGAGTCTTCTTCCATGTAAGAAGTAATGAGTGATGGTTTTTCTCTTCCCGATTAATAATTCTTGATAATTCCACAACGTTTTTGTGTCATGCAATAGGAATATTTCTCTTCAAAAAGTCTCTCTTCAGCCTTCACTTCCCAGTTTTTTTACATGCGCCGTTTTAAAAGAAGAATAAATTTAAACGTACAGATTGTATTTGTGATTTCATATAACAAGCTATTGCCAGAAATTTTTATTCCGAAACATTCGCTTTTTCTTAATTTTTTTACCGAAATCTTTTTAAAAATGTGTAAACATTCTCTGCAATATCCTATTATTTTCGGATACATTAAGTTTCTTATTTCAAACTAAAAAATAAGATAATTGTTTCTCTGAATTACAGAGGAACTTATAATTAATATATGAACATATATTTAAAACATTTACTTCATCGATGAAATTTTGCCCCTTAAGTGAGAGTACAATTATTCTTGTTAAATGGAGTACTAGAAGAAATGGTGGCACCAGTTTGCTTTGCCAGCTCTTCAAGTAAGGCATGACATGGGACATCTGAGCCGCTTCGTAAGCAACCATTCCAGCTAAACAAGGCACAAAAGTCGCGAATACAAAAATGATTGGAGACAGTAGGCGATCGGCGTCTTCTGCTAAACTAGCTACCATTAGATGCGGTTCTAGCCAACTTCTGAGTTTTGAATAAGATATGATATCTGGATCTTCGAGAAGAAGCTTCAAATTATGACGAGATTTTCTCGAAAATGCGTTGCACGATTGTATGATCGTTATGATAAATATTTCTGTTAAAAGAGGGCCTAATGTATACAAAAATACTATACCTATTTGAGCAATAATAATCGAAGGGTATAGATTCGGTTGGATGTTAATAACAGCAGGATAAATAGCCGCAAACATCAGAAATGTTCTGTTAGAAGGAAAAGGCAAAGAATGATTGGAATCGAACAGATCCTTGGTGTGGTAACTATAAGCCGTTGCTTTCAAAATTGGGTTAAGTCCAGACCACAGGATGGCTAAGCCAAGAACTGTTTTTAATTTTAAATGCATTTTTGCTTTGATCAGATGAGATACTTTTCTTGTTTTTAATACAAATTTGGATATTTCAATTGAATGATACATCATTATGACTTGATATAGAATCCCAGTCATCATCATTGCAATTGGGAGCATTTCATTGACTATTTTGAACAAATTAGTCTCACGAGATGTGTCGTAAACAAAATAGCTGACAATTGACACAGTCAGCATTAAACACTGAAATGAAAGTACTGCTATTTGAAAAATTAACCAACTCCACTGTTCACACTGGGATTTTCGATGGCACATTTGCAGCTTGAAATAGCCTGTGAGTTTCAGACATTGCAATAAATCACTCCACATATCAAAATAAGCACTATCTTTCTTGAAATTACGCAACTCAGAAAAGAACAAATGACGTTTTCTCTTAGACGTTCCACGACTTGCTTTAACATTTTGATAAGGATACATTTTTAATCTGCATATTTTTCGGGCGTCACGCACTTGTCTGTAATTCTAAATTTTATTTCATCCCAACCTATCGAAAGATGGCGCTGTTCTACGGAAAACTTTCTCCGTTTTCATTGATTTTCTTGTAAGGACGCTAGCATTTTTCCGCAGCAAAAATTCACGCATGTTGCTTGCATTTTAAAACTATGATTATTTAATAATACAGTAATGTTAACCAAAAGCAGTTCAGTGTGTAATAATAAAAGCAATTATCATATAAAACCTGGGGCGGAGGTAAAACCGGGCGGAATTTTTAGAATTTAAGCTGGCATTGAGCGCAATAATTTACAAGTCACTAATATTGCACCCCGCTGCAAAATATCTAGCCCTGTCTATATAAAATTAACTATTCTATAATTAAAACGTAATTTACATACATCTATGATTAAATTTTAAACGATTTCTTTTCTAGTAATAACGTATGTATTATTAGACTTAAATACAAAGTTCGAGTTATGAATTACGATAGTTTACGTGATATATGAATGCCGAGATGGAGACATTGGTCTTTCCTTTCTAGCATGGTGTTTCCTTCCAACATACTTTCTGCTATAATTTTTATTTTAATTTCATCTTAAAATTCCTTTGTAAAATCAAACTAAAAGTTTTAATAACTTCATTCATCATGTAATATGAAAATCTTGATGTAAATAGCCTTTGATTAATTATTCGCAAGAAATTTGTTCATAGCATTTTCCAAAAAGTAATTTGTAAATTAAACTTTAAATCATAAAATTAGAAGATTCAGATATTTTCATTATTAATCACTTTTGTTTCTTCTGAATTAATACTTCTCATATATGAAAAATAAATAAATCTGAAATCAAAATAAGAATTAAATAAATATAAAAATATTTTTCGAAAGAAGTGAAGCGTAGCTACAGTATAGCTATACCGAGGCATTTTAAACATGCATTTGCTCCAGCATGCCAAATTCAAGTGGATTTTTTAAATCTTTATTTATGTTTTTACATGTGATTTTTACCTCTAGAAATCCACGTTATTTTCATATAAATAATTATGCAGCTGATCAAAAGATGGCAGCACATCTGATCGGTATTGCGTAACTACGAAGCGAAAGAAAATTACGCGGACCTTCTCTTTTGCAGGGGGGGGGACCGTCCAATTCATTCTTTCTTCCCCTGCCCCTTTTTTGTTCTCTGAATTACGTAATGCATATACGTCTGTGTGTAGAAGTTGCTTAGCAGTTTAAATTTGAAATTAAAAAACTTTTCACTGTTTAAAAATATTGTCAGTGCCGGGCGTTAGACTTTTTACCGCTCAGTGCAATTCTTTGTTGAGAAAACATTCTGCCTTCTAAAGACTCCTTAAATTACAAAAAAAAAAAAAAAAAAAAAAAAACTGTAGACCTTAATATCTGCCGCCCGGTACTGCCGCGGAGGTTGCATAGGTTCTGGCGGCGGCCCTGAATATTGCACAGATTCATAGCGTTATTTTTAGCCCAAATGGACGCTAGCCCAGAAGGACTCTAATAAATCACAATAAAATGGCGTTTCACTTTTCAAATTGTTGCCACCAAATATTAGAGCCCAGCATTATACTTTAAGAAATTAAATACTGAAGAATCTGTATGAATGTATGTATGTTTCTCTCACTGTGAAAAAACGAAGGGACCTAGAGACATCAAATTTTGAATAACGTATAATCCACTAGAATATGGCCATCTGGAAGCCTAAATTTGGGATTTGTTTTATTATCTATTTCACATTCTGTAAAACTTTAACGAATTTTTATTAACAAACGCAACGACTTTTTGATTAATGATTAAGCAAACGATTTCAAAGCGTTCCATTAACATCGCGTGCATCTTCAAGCACGGACATTTTATGCGCGAAATTTCTTTACATTTCTTTTGCTGGTATTACTTGTATGTTGGTAACGTTGCAACGGAATGGCTGTATCCCTCTTCAAATCCCGTTTTGAATCCCCCGTAAAAAAAAAAAAAAAAAAAAAAAATCGCGCCTGTGGGCTTAAAATAAAATCTGAAGGCTTTCAGATTTTTTATTCATACGTAGATTTAAAAAATACCAATTCTCGAGCTTCTAAATGAATGGTTAACACAAAGAGGAATTTATGCAGTCGCGCAAATCTCAGTCATGAGAGACTCCGCATTCTAAGTAGCCTCTAAAGTATTAATTAGTTAAAAAAAAAAAAATAATGAGCGGAACTATGGTGAGGGGCTTCAAAAGCTCAGATGTGATGAACTGCCAGTTCATAAATTTTCCACTGTTGGTATAAGAAACAGATTTCCAGATAATCTACAGCATTAAAAACTTAAAATTTTTTGTTCTGTTGATACAAAGAATTCAAAATAATTATTACTTTTTCGGCAAAAACATACATATTTGAGCTCTTCATTAGTAATCCTAGTTTCTTTTCTTCATCCTTGATATCATTTAAAGGAAAATTATAAGAATAATGTATTAATGTCAGAATTAAAATTTAAAAATGTTTTTAAGACATAAAATTAACTTTAAATAAAATGCTAGTAATGTAAATGTTTATTATTACTCAATAATGAGTTAGATTAGTTTTGGAAAACTCAATTGAAAATCATACCCTAATATTAAAAAATAAAAAGTAACTTTTTGGCAAATGAAAAAATTATTTTTCATTGGTATGTTAGCTTGATTTCAATTTATATCGCAATTTTCAGATTGAAATAATGAAAATTCAAGATAATAATAATAAAAATAGTGATGATAATGAAGATGACACAACAATAACAATAATGATAACAAGTAACAATAAAAATACATTAATAATGATATAATGCATTTTACATTATGTTTTCTGTCCTCTCAGAAACTAAATTTTTAGGTCATGAAAAGCAAGATTTGAAAACAAGAAAATTAATTTTAATAAAAGTACGATTAATAACTAATTTTGTATACTTTGCCTTTTTCTTCGTGGAGTGTGTACGTGGAGGGAGAGTTCTCGTCAGAAACCGAAGCAAAGAAATCACGAACCGTAAGAAGGTGGAGGAGTCTGTACAAAATGCGTAATATATGGTGTTAAAAGCCTTTTTTTTTTTTTTTTTTTAATTACAAATGAGGAAAAATTCATAAATTAAAAGAAAATTTAAAACAATAATGATGACGACGACTACATCAATAACAATAATAACAGCAACGAATATAAACAAACACAATATATTAATAATGCCGCCCAACCGGTATAGTAGTTAGCGTCGCTGACTGCCGGCTTAAAACGGCTTACGGCTTACAGAAATTCTGGCTTATGCAAACGACTTCGTATAAATCACCAAGAGTGATGTGCTTACGAGAACAGGGAAAAACTCGGTATCAACGGAACCGTTGGCGGGAAAAGTGATCGTAAACTTAGTATTGCTCCTTCAAAAACATAAAGCATCATCATAAGTTCAGGTAAATGCAACGCTTGTATGCCTTAATCTTCATAGGTAGAATATCAAAGTGTTGAAAAGTATAGAATATCTTGGTATTTCTGTGCATGATACTCTCATTTAAAAGTGCATAAGGTATCAATCCACGTATCAATCAGAAGCATCCGCAATTTGAGAAGTTTCATCGCGAATGCTCAAAATATGGTACACAGTGGTTGAAAAACACATAGCATTGTATGAGGCCTACCCGTGTGGACTCACACTAATGCCCAAAGTGAGAAGTCTTTTGATTCTGGCCAAGACTCTTTTTCGTGAACATTTATACAGGGATACAAAACCTCAATCCATTAAAGGTCCTTTCAGGTGTGCCGCCCCTTTACCAGACTACACGTACAATACCCAGGAAACCTTGTCAAGACTGCTCGAGAGCCAAGACAACTGCGCAGGATTGATACGTGGCATTAAACGCGCGATACCATAGAGATATAATAGCTAAAGAATTTTATTAGAACACCACTGCAGTATATCTCCGAAGAAAGCTTTTTTTTGGGGAGGGTAGAGTCACGCATTCTTTTTTTAGACACAACAAGATTAGGAATACATCTACTTCAATAAATAGAGAGGTTCTCGACGAATCTTCATCTGAAGAGAGCTCGTAATTCGCTAGATTCCCTGTAACCTAAAGGTGAAAGGGAATGCTTGCGTGGGGAGGC